CAGCTCATCGCCTACGCGCCTCCGCTCGTGGCCAACACGCACACTTAGCGACCTCATCCCCGAAACTCCGGCTCCTCTCCGCATCCAGCGAACCTCACAAGAAGCTGGCAGGGCACCCCTCTGCGCCAGCGGTAGGGCTGGGGCAATTTTGCGTGAAGATCAGCCCCGCACAGCCTGATTTTTCAAAGCAGTTTTCCCAAAAACCAAACTTACCAAAGGTAAATCCAGCACCTAAATAGGTCTTCGAGATACCATGATATACAGAAAGCGAATTTTATGTTCGCGACATGAAATTCTGTGTACACGCCGCCGAATTTGTGCGCCAGCGGCGGAATTTCTCGCACGCCAACACCCTGGATAAGCCTATAAATAGCCACCCAACGCATCCTCCAAGAGATTCTTGAAGTGAATGAAAGTGAACGAGAAGGGACGCGCTTCGCGCTCGAGGCTTCCCTCACGGTCGCCCGAGCGCCGCGCGGTGAAGAGGAGGGCGTTCGCAGTTGGGGGAGCCAGTTGACGAATTCTACAGAAGACTGGACATTTATAGATCCAGGGTAACTGTAAGATCCCTCGAAGATTAAAGCGCTGGCTTCATCACACAAAAAACCTGTCGGAGATCCTGGAGTTTATGATGACGCGAATGGGGCCGGCTGGGGCGCGGAGTGGGGCGCCGTGGCGATTTGTAACGAGGCGTCCTCGAGAGGTTGTCGGCGCCCCCGACGTGACCCATCGAGCCTGATGTCTACGCGGTGTGATCGAAGTCTCTGAACGAGAGTGAGCGCGCCGTTTATGAGGCGCGCTTTGCCAGGAACGGACTCGGCCAAGGGTTTGGATCTCACACGGACGAGAACCTACGCTCACCTCGTCATTCGTGCTCGGAGCTCGAGAAAATGCCCTCGACTCCTTCGAACCATCTCAGCGCGATAGCACGTAAACATCACACGATTGGACTCCATGATGATAAGAAGCCGCTTCGAGATCTCCTTGTTCGCTATTATGTCATGGTGTGTCTTACTCGGCGTCACGACTTCGAGTTGTGGCCAGGATGCCACTGTAAACCCTCACGCTGACCCGTGGGAGGTGTATCAGGGGCGTGAGGGAGACTCACCGCCTACAGACCCCATCGTGATCGAAGGATGTCACGACAGCTTCGGGATGGGTCCTGTGTGGCAGATGGTAGAAGACAAGCAAGCGGCACTCGCCGAGTCCGAATGGATCGTGGTGTTGGGCACCACCAAGAAGTTAAAGTATCTGGCATCTGGCGAAACAGATGGTGACATCGACTACGCCGAGGAAATGGCCTCGATCACCACGGAGGCACGCTCACTCGGGGTCGAAATGCTCGACAGCACAGACGAGCTGCAGCTTGTTGCAGCTGGCCCACCAGAGGCGCTCTTGGAGCTCGCGGAGCGCTCGTGCTTTATCACGGTGCTCGATTTGACCGGGTTTCACTGTGATTGCGCTCCGGCGCAATGTCAGGAAGCGAGAAGCTGTGAGCTTGTCAGACAGTCGCCCGAGCTTCCCGATGAAGAAGCCAGACTCACTGCCGAACGGGCTTACGAAATCTCCGGATACACGAGCTCCGTCATTGCCTGTGACGCAGACTTTGATCAGGGGAGTCAGTATGCTTCAGTGTTCGCCACTGACTTTCGTGCCGTTCGTTGGGCACACAGCACCGATGGCAGGATTCATTCATGGCAAAACTCATCTTGCCGATGAAACACCTTCCATCCCAAAAACCGTGGTTCCAGCGCGAAGGTATGGCCTTGAAACCCTTCCTCTTCCTCGTTGTATCCATTGCCATGTCAGGCTGTTCCTCCAATGGCAGCATCGATCTCCAACCTGAACCAGGTTGGGATCTCGAGGAACCCAGTACAGCACGACCTTCGAGCAACGAGCCCGAGATCATCGTTCACGCCGCCTCGGAGATGAGAGACATGTCCTACCCCAGCGTTCGTGGCTGTGAAGATGACATGGAGGCTTCTCACCGCGCCTCCTTCTGGAATGGTCTCAGCGTGGAATTTTTTGGGGGCGATCCCCCAAAGGCAAACATGCGGTGCACCTTCCCGGATGGAACACCTGCTCCCCCCGTCGACGCGCCGCCTTTCGATCATCATGACGTGTATCTCCAGTTTGGAGATGCCAACACCCTCCACAAATTCGAGGTCCGGTTTCACGACGATGGACACCGCCCTGACAGCCGCAGGAGAAAGGTATGGATCGTACCTTTCGTGGATGGCGTGGACCTGGTCATCTATGCTGGACGGAAGCGATTCAATGTATCGCTTCTGCCAAGAGAGCCACGCTGCACCTTCCCCGACGCCGTCGATCACGACGCGCTCCTCGAGCTCATGAGCAACATCCGCATCATCTACGGCGGCCTGAGACCAAACACCCAGGACTACTATTACTGGGATTATGGTGTCCTCGAACCGATGAAGGTCGAGTGGGAGGAGGGGAGACAGTTTGCCATCTACATGACAGGCTTCCACAACTTGTTCTCGGATTGCACCGACCCCACCCCCGAGCTTCGAGCGCAGCAGGACTGACAATCGAAACCTCGCCAAAGAAGCAACGCTCAGGCGTCCTGTCTGTAGAAGACCTCGGAGCGCAGCACCGCCTTTACGCCGCTCGTGATCTCTAGCCCTTCATGGATGATAGCGTGTTGAAAGAGCAGGGCCATCCCAGGTTCTGGCGCGATCTCGAGCTCGGGTGACACGTGAAAGCGCGTGGTGCCCCCTGTAAAGTCATCGTTCAGATAGACAAGCAGCGTCATCCGCGTGAGCAGCTTATCATCGCGCCAGCCGATGTCTGTATGCGGGCCAAAGAAATCCCCTTGCTCGTAGAGGAAGTAACGCCACATCGGGTTTATCGCCTCAAACCTCGCGCCCTCGATGACTTCTGGCGCGTGAGGAGCGATCCGCGTGGTGAGCACGTCGGCCAGTTCACGATCCTCACGCTCGGCGATGTGGTGGCTCCTGAGCTCGGGCTTGTATCGCTGCGCCCCCGAGGCCGAGATGACCTTCGCCTGCGCGAGCTGCTGGCGCCTTAGAAAATCGAGATGTTGTTTGCACTCCTCGGATGAGAGGAGGTCGTCGATGCGTATGATGTAGGGAGCGTTTGCGGCGAGTGATACGCGCGTCCTGGCTGCCATGGTGGGCTCCTTGTGGGAAGGGGAGGGCGTCCACAAACAGGAGCCGTGTTCCTGCCCTCGATGACACTTTATCCACGTCAGCTTGGAGAAAGATTGGCTCTCAGGCACCGCACTCGCCAGGCACGCTCTCTCTGGACGACAAAAACAGCCTCCGGCGCCCGATCGTTGGGTCGCGTCGGGGGCGCCGACAACCTCTCGAGGACGCCTCGCTACAAATCGCCGCGGCGCCCCACTCCGCGCCCCATTCGGACAACCCTCCGGCGAGGTTACTGAAGCACCTAGCGAAAAAGCGTGCACCGTACGATCTACAATAATGTGGTAATCGTCCAGAAGTAGTGAACCGGGCTCAAGATGCGATGCGAGGAGCCATGAAGCGGTTGTAGTGCTGGATGAAGTTGATGATGAAGGCTTTGTGCCTGTTGAGCTTTCTGGAGAAGCAAAGCGAGCGCCTGGTGAGCCTGGCCACGCGGGTTCTCAAGGTGAGGTTGAAGCGCTCGATGTGGCTGGTCATCCCATCCCCCTTTCTCCACCTCCCATGGTCGCACCACAGGAAGATCTTGCGGTAGGCCGCCAAACCGTCGGTATCGATGCAGGCATGCTCGAGGTAGATTGCTGGGAGCTTCTCTTTGAAGGCGCGCGCATCCTCGAGCGTGCGGTCTCCGAAGTGAACTGCCACGATCCTCCTGCTCTCGAGGTCCATCGCCAGCCATATCCAGACGGGGTTTTCCTTGCTCCCGACATAGCTCCACATCTCATCGCACTGGAGGATGAGCGCTTTTTTTTTCATCGAGGTCTTCGGGAGGTTCAATGCGCTCGTCCACCTGGTTCGCCCACTCCTCGATCTTGACATGGAGCCAGCTCGTGGAGATGCCCGTGACCCGATGAATGGCCATGATGCTGATGTTCTCCTCGAGCATGCGAAAGACCATCTCCCAGGTCTCATCTGAGATGATCTTCTTTGTGGCACCCAGCGTGTACTGGCGGCCACACTCCTTGCACATCCGCTTGGGCTTTCCGTTGTGAATCGTTCCGTTCTTGACCGTATGTTCGCTTCCGCAGTCGGGGCAGTGCTTTTCCATCATCTTGGTTTTGCTCGAGAATCGTGAATGACAACCTCAAACTAAACCCTCGCAGAACGATGTCACTACTTCTGGACGATTACCAATAATGTGTAGATCGTACGGCTGCCTCGCAGATCGCCACTCTCATGATCACAAGGCGCCACCCGAGTAAGCTCGAATCTTCGTGCGCGAGCATGTCAAACCCCGGCCAGTACGCGCTTTAACGGTGCGTTCGTTTGAACGGGTGACGGCCATTCGAGCTGATCGTCTCGCTGCCGCGCTCCAGTGAGCGTGAGACATGTCGTCGAAGACTCGCGATCAACAACAACCAACACGTCCCGAGAAAGATCGGGCACATGGGGTAGAGCCATCCCATCCGCGCGATCGGTTCTCCTCCGACGACAGCCAACAAGGCGGTCGCGCCACCTGGAGGATGCCTTACATCAGCCGACGCCATAAAGACGCACGCGAGCGTGACAGCGGCGATCGCCGCGATCCTGGGCGAGCCATCGAAACACCAGGCGCAGCCCATCCCGATCCAGGCCGAGCCAACGTTTCCCAAAATCGCCGCGCGCGGCGTGGTGAGCTTGGACTCCGGGCAGCTGATAAAGAGCACCATCGAGGCACCGAGCGAGCCCGTCGCCCACGCTGCGCTGACGCGATCATCGAGGAGGCCGCACATATGCAGCAACCCGAAGAGTCCTGACATCGCGAGCGCTGCCGAGATGCCATCGACGAGCGGAGAGAAGAGCTTTTTAAACATGTTAAAGGAGATGCCTGGGGGGTCACAATGACTCGAGCGGCCCGAACGCCTCGAGGTGAAGTCGCGTCTCGTCTGCTCCCAGGTCGAGCAGCGCCTCTCGTACGGTGGCCATAAAGCCGCGCGGACCACAGAGGTAGAACTCTCCAGAGACATCACGCAAGTGTGTTTCCAAAAAAGCCCTGTCCACGCGCCCCTCGGTATCGAAGCGTCCGAGCTCTCGGTCCTCGTCTGTGGGCTCCTCATAGAAGATGTGCGTCTTCACGCGACCATGGCTCGCCGCCAATCGATTCACCTCATCGCCAAAGGCGTGTGTGTTGCCATTGTGGGTAGCGTGAATGAAGTGCACCTCGCGATGCTTTGCGTGCGTGGCGACAGCGTGGAGCATCGAGAGGACAGGGGTGATGCCGACCCCGCCGCTCAAAAAGACCAGCGGGCCAGAAGCCTCGCTCGCTGCATCGAGCACAAACTCCCCGCACGGTGGTCCAACCTCGAGGATGTGGTCGTCGCCGATATGATCGTGCAGCCAATTCGAGACGACGCCATCTGGCTTCGCCGGGAGGCGCTCCCGCTTGACGCTGATGCGATAGAATGGCGCGCCGGGTGCCTGTGAGAGGCTGTAATTTCGCATCGTCGTTTGACCGCCCGTCACATGAGCAGGAGCCTTCAGCGTGATGTATTGGCCAGGGAGGTGCGCCGCGAGCCCATCGCCCTCGACGGGCCGCAGGTGAAACGATGTGATGTTGGCGCTCTCTTCGACGCGACGCGTGACGCGAAACTCCCGAAATCCTCGCCAGCCGTGGCGAACCTCGTGCTCCTCATAGATCGAGCCCTCTCGCTCGATCAAAATCCCCGCCAGGAGGTTGTACGCTTGACCCCAGGCGTCGAGAATCTCTTGCGAGGACGACTCCCCCAGCACCTCGTCTATCGCGGCGAGGAGATGCTCGCCGACGATCGGATAGTGCTCCTCCTGCACCCCGAGTGACGCGTGCTTGTATGCGATCAGCTCGACCGCATCCCCGAGCACAGAGAGTTCGGCGATATGCGCCGCGTAAGCGAGGATGGCTCCAGCCAACGCGCGTTGTTGACGTCCTGTCGCCTGATGGCTCGGGTTAAACATGGGGCGGACTTCAGGGTTCGCGTCGAACATGCGCTTGTAGAAACAGCGCGTCACCTCCTCCGCGTGTTCTTTTAACCACGGCGAGGTGGCCTGGATGATCGAGAGGGTCGATGGGGCAAGTGCTCGGGACATGAGGACCTCGTTGTTTCTGTTCGCTTTCAGGACGATCGAATAATCCCAAGTTGTTGTTTTGTAAGTTAAAATATGAGATTATTCGACAACTTCGAAAAACACGCATTTCACATGCGCCTATAAACAGGTATATGAAATGCGTGTTTTTGAAAAGCGGGTTTGAATACGTTCTGGTGCGGGTTCTTGTCGATCGAGGTGAGGGATGAACAAGCTCGAGTCATTGCTCGAAAACGCGAAGCTCTGGAGATGCATCATCGCGCTGGCCTTGCTCGGCGCGATCACGATCGGGGTGTGGCTGCGGTGGTCGCTGGCAGGCGCCTGGGGATTGACGCTCGACTTCTCACACCTTCGGCACGCCCACTCGCACCTCGGTTACTTCGGGGTTCTCTTCCCGCTGGCCTGGTTGGGGTGGCGACATGCAGGCGCGAGAATCCCCGGGCCATACATGTTGATGGCCTATGCGATATGCACCTCGATCACCTGCATGGGGTTTGCCTTTGCTGGCTACGGACCGGTAGCGATCGCGGGGAGCACATTCATCGCGGCGTGTTGGCTCTGGAGCTCGGTGTGGCTGCTCCGAAACATTCACGACCTCGACGACCCGTTGGGGATGGTCCCCTGGGGGATCCTCGTGTCACTGCTCTGTGTCCCACCGATCGCGCTGAACCTGCGCAGCGATCCCGAGCTCGCGCGCGGGTTCGTCTCGACCTTCCTGGCAGGATTGCTCCTCCTGGTGATCATCCCATCAGCCATGGCAGGGCGCCGTATCACCGTCGGTCCCTGGCCGTTCCTGTTTACGACGGGGTTGTTGGGAGCCCTGTTTTTGGGAGTGGTCGAGCATCCGGTCGCGCGCATCGGCCTCCTCGCGCACGCGGGGCTGTTGCTGACGCTCACACGCACAACGAGGCTGGAGCTGCACACGAGGTGCGCCTGGGGCGTGGTCGCCGCAGGTCTGGGGGCGATGGCGACAGGCCTGCTGCCAAACACGCGGCCGGTCGCCCTGGGAGCCATTCACTTTCTTATCCTTGGCCCCGTGCTCGCGACACTCGCGCCGCTCTGGCTAAAGCGCCCGCCACCTTCCTGGATGTGGTGGATCGGACACCTGAGCTGGGGCTCCATGTCCGCCGCCTTGCTCGCGCAGGAGTTCGTGGCCAGCTCGTGGACATGGACCATCGCCGCCGCCGCTGGCTCCGCGACCGCCCTCTGGTGGCTCCTCGTGCTCGTCTATCAACAAAGCGCCCGAAGGTCGGCATGAGTGATGCGCTCATCGATGCTCGATCCCGACAGGTATCGAGCACCGGTCGCCAGGAAGCCCTCGATGGGATAAACAACGACGCGCTCGGTGATGGTGCATCGAGCATACATTTCATACCCTTGTCCTCGTGCGCGCAGGCGTCACACCTCCACGACACCTTCACGTGCACCTGAACTCTGACGAGCCGATAGCCGATCTATGCAACTGACTTATCATACGGACTTTTCGCTGCGCCTGCTGTTGTACCTCATGGCGCGCAGCGATGGAGAGGTCGTCAGCGTGGGCGCGATCGCGTCGGCCGAGCTCACCCGGCTCGGGTGGCTCGAGTCTATTCGCGGGAGGGGAGGGGGGCTCAAGCTCCTGGACGCTGCCAGAGGGCTGTCTGTGGGGGACGTCGTGCGAGCAACAGAGCACAATATGGCGCTCGTCGAGTGCATGGGGAGCGCGAACACATGCCCGATCACTCCCGTATGCAGGTTAAAGGGCGTCCTCGTCGAAGCGAGAGACGCCTTCCTCGAGGTCCTCGATTCATATCCTCTCGAGGACATGGTCCAGGACCAGGGAGAGCTGAGGCGCCTGCTCTCCATCCCGCCAGACGATGGCGACGATGGGCGCTGCACGTGAGAGAGGGTTGGATTGCGGAGCGCTGGCAGACAACCTATCCTGACACGAGCTGTTAACGTAGGACACGGAGGTCTTGCTTGAGTCACCTACCTGACACCATCTCTCTGGCGCGTGAAGGCCACGCCGCGTCTTACCGCCACGACGTGATCGAGGTGAGCGCCGAGGCGCTCGACCTGGAGAAGCTGCGCGAGCACACGCAGGCCGCCAGCGAGCACCTCGGCGGTGACGTCGAGATGTGGGCGCAAGCCTTCCTCGATCCGAACCAGATGGCGCTCGCGCTCTGGGGGCTCGCGCGTGACACACGCGCGCCCACGCACCTGAAGTGGATGGCAGACTTCATCCTCGATGGCGTCGAGCACTGGGAGGCTCCCGACGAACTCGCCGCTGTCGTGTCGACGCGCGTCAAGTTGCTGAAGCTGCTCGCGCACGAAACATACGAGGAAGAAGCCCTCACCGAGCATATCCTCGAACACCTCGACCTCTACTCGGGGTGGACGCGAGAGGTGAGGCTTGGCGCCTCCTACCAACTCGGAGAGGAGACCCCCTGGTACAAACCTGGCGCGCCGTTCAAGGAGACGCTCGACGCGCTCGAGCAAAGCAAGAAACCCTCCAGGCAAGGATTGGAAAAGATCGCGCGCGAGCGCTACCTCGAGCTCGCGCGGGTCCCTGTCACCAGACTCCTGCTCGAGCAGCGAAGCGACCTTAAAAAGCTCGGCGAGTTCGTGGCGCTCTATACGCGCGCCTCGGCGAGCGCTCGCGCGTTGACCGAGCGCGCCGATGCGTTCGAGCGCGCGCTGCTCGATGAAGCGAACGTGCTCCTCGATACGCAGGAGCCTGTGAGCTCGCAGCCAGAAGAGAGCATCCTGGCAGGTCCTCCCATCGATGACGGCACGCCGTTTTATCTTGGGCTGACAGAGCACCAGGACGCCTTCCCGACGAGCTTCTCGACGGTGCGGCTCGCGGCGCTCACGCGGGTGATTTTACGCAAGCTCGGCACGGATCACGAGGCGTGGTCTGTGGCCAACCCGCGCAAGGTTGTCACCGCCACCGATCTCCCGCGCCTCGACGACGCACAACGCATCCTCTACACGCGCATTGTCACGAGCTTTATGCGGCACGAGCTCTCGATGTGGGAGGGGTTTGGCCTGGGGGCGAGGGCCGTCGCGAAGCGCATCGAGCTGTTGACGACGCTCGCGCGCTCGGAGCGCACCGCGAGCGCGCGGCGAGATGAGGCGATGGCGCTTGTTGTAAAGCAGCTCGCGTTCTTTGGAGGATGGGATGAGGCGGTCGCGCGCGGAGAGCGCTATCAGCTCGGCGTCGAGTCCCCCTGGCACAAGGCTGGTGAGTTCGCGCGCGTCCAGCGGCTCCTCTCGCAGAACCTCGATGACCCGGAGCGGCTCGCAGAGCTTGGCTTCACGCGCATCCCGCGCCAACACTACCTCGACCGCGTCAGGTTGCCTGTGAGTCAGCTCCTGCTCGGCGCCGGCGAGCCACTGGCCGCCGTCGCCGCGCTCATTACGCTGTTCACCGCCTCGCGCAATGACCGCTCGGATATCCCGGCCGCGCAACGCGCCGTGCGCGATGACCTGTTCTTGCAGGCGACCAACGCGCTCAAGTACCAGTCCACGCCGATCCCGAGGAACTCGCTCTTTGGCCTGACCCGCGAGGCGGGCAACATGTCGACCTTCTTCAAGCAGTCGATGCGCGTGAGTCTCGATGATGACCCGAAGATGGGGAGGCTCGATGACCTCGAGGAGGCCGCGCTCGTGTTGCAGGAGCGCGTCGATGACAACGGCCAGTCGCTGATGTTTATCGACCGAAAGCTCATCGAGCGGCGCAAGGGCGCGCAGATGTTCGTGGAGGTCCCGCTCGAGGAGCGCTCCTCGAACGTCATCGACGCGCTCACGCGCGCCATCGAGCAGCTCCCCATCGAACCCGAGGCGCTCGAGCACATCCC